ATTCACTGCCGCACAACTTCATTCATGCAAAGTTAAGATTGCCTGCATATACCTCGCACACTTCCAGAACATGGAGTTCACTTACACTCAAACCTCTGAAAGCCAGGAAACGACAATCTTAACTGTGCTGTCTTTGTTGGCGTGTTGAGGCATCCTTGAACGAACATGCTACCACACTGTCAAGTTTTCTGTAAGGGCACTTTGGGAACAGAGCATGTGCCACTGTAGAAAAAAGTCTAACACCTTCTCTTTACTACTACAGGGTTAGGTCGAATTTAGCCGTGTTAGATCGATTTTATAATGAATGCGTCTACACAAGCAACCCCATTCCATTGACCTAAAGGGCTCTTAAAAATCGATTTCTGTACTCCTCCCCAGCGAGGGAAGCAGCGCTAAAATCAACCTTGCTGGGTTGAATTTGGGGTAGTGTGGTCGCAAATCGACGTTATTGGCCTCCGGGAGCTATCCTGGAGTGCTCTAATGTGACCGCTCTGGACAGCCCTTTCAACTCTGATGCACTAGCCAGGTACACAGGAAAAGCCCCGGGAACTTTTGAATTTCATTTCCTGTTTGGTCAGCGTGGAGAGCTCAGCAGCAAAGGTGATCATACAGTCCCCCCAGAATTGCAAACAAGCTCCAGCATGGAGTGAACGGGAGACACTGGATCTGATTGCTGTATGGGGAGAAGAATCTGTGCAGGCCAAGTTCCGATCAAAAAGAAGAAATGCTAATATATATGCCAAAATTGCACAGGGCATGATGGACAGAGGCTGCAACAGGGACACATAGCAGCACCACATAAAAATCAAGCAGCTCAGGCAAGCCTACCAAAAGACAAAGGAAGCAAACAGTCGCTCTGGGTCAGAGCCCCATACATGCCGCTTCTATGATTAGCTGCATGGCATTCTAAGGGGGGACCCTACCACTACCCCACCACTGTCCGTGGACAACTGCAAGGAGGGAGTCTCACACAACACGGAGGAGGATTTTGTGGATAAGGAAGACGAGGAGGAGAATGCACAGCAGGCAAGTGGTGAATCTGTTTTCCCTGGCAGCCAGGACCTTTTCATCACCCTGGAGCCAATACCCTCCCACAGTGGGATCCCCGACCCTGAAGGCAGAGAAGTCCCCTCTCGTGAATGCACATTTGTAACTACAGTACAGGGTTTAAACGCAATAGTGTTTGTTTGATTTGCCCTGAAGACTTGGGATGCATTCACGGCCAGTACAGCTATTGGAAAAGTTGGTTAACGTGTCTGGGAATGGAGTGGGAATCATCCAGGGACATCTCCATGAAGCTCTCCTGGAGGTATTCTGAAAGCCTTTGCAGAAGGTTTCTGGGGAGGGCTGCCTTATTTCAGCCTCCACGGTAGGACACTTTACCACACCAAGCCAGTAGCAAGTAGTCTGGAATCATTGCAGCACAAAGTATGGCAGCGAACGGTCCTGGGTTTTAGTCGCATTCAAGCAACATTCGGTCTATATCTTTCTATGTTAGCTTTAGGAGAGCTATATCATCCATGGTCACCTGGTTGAAATAAGGGAACAGTAAGGGACCCCATTTATGCTGGGCTGTTTGTGCTTAGCTAAAAGGAATCATCCCTGAGAATAGCCACACAGCAGGGGTGGGGGTGTGAAGGGATCATCCCAAATAGCCATGTGGAGGAAAGGTGTGTGCTGCACATCCACCTGAAAACCACAGCCCCTCCTTTTAAATGGCAAACACAACTGGCATTGCTTGCTATGGGAAAGGAGGCCGCTGCAGTTTGAAAACATTCCCACATGTTATCAAGGTATTAGAAGCCAAACCCATGTACACTTTGACTTACCGTGGCTGCCTGGAAACCAAATTCTGTTGCCCAGCCGTGTGTGATGTGTCACCATACCGGCAGGCGCTCACTATAAAAAGGCAAAATGCGACCTTGTACCTAAAGCACATGTGCTGTCTGCTGTGAATTGCTTGATTCACTGTGAAAGAGTCTCCCTTTTGTTCTCAGAAATGCATCATCTGAAATTTTACTCTCCCTTTTTATCCCCCCCACAGGTGCAAATGTTTCTATGCTCCCCCATCATCTCCGTCCCTGAGGTTATCGCAGATTAGAAGGGGAAAAAAAACCACAACCCCAGCACTCGTGATGACCTGTTTTCCGAGCTCATGCAGTCCTCCCACACTGATAGGGCACAGCTGAATGCATGGAGGCATTCAGTGGCAGAGTCCAGGAAAGCATTAAGTGACTGCGATGAGAAGAGGCAGGATGCAATGCTGAAGCTAATGGGGGAAGCAAACAGACATGCTCAGGCATCTGGTGGAGCTGCAGGAAAGCCAACAAGAGCACAGACCGTCGCTGCATCCACTGTAAAACCGCCTGCCCACCTCACCAAGTTCCATATCCGACTCACCCAGATGCCCAAGAACGCGGGGGGGCGGGCGTGTTGTGGCTCCAGGTACCCAGCCACTACACTCCAGAGGAAGGCCCAAGCAACAGAAGGCTGTCATTCAAATAGTTTTGATTTGTAGTGTAGCTACAAATAAGCAATGTGGCCTGGTCCTTCCCTCCTCCTCCACCCCACCAGGATACCTTATCAGTTCTCTCCTTTTTTTCCTTAAATTAAGAAAGAATGCATGGTTTCAAAACAATAGTGACTTTATTTCCTTTGCCAGCTATGATCGAAGGGGAGGGAGGGTGGTTGGCTTACAGAAAAAAAAAAATTCAAAGGGGGCAGGTTTGCATCCAGGAGAAACACATACAACTGTCACAACCTAGACTAGCCAGTCATGAAACTAGTTTTCAAAGCCTCTCTGATGCGCAGCGCGCCTACCTGTGCTCTTCTAATTGCCCTGGTGTCTGGTTGTTCAAAATTGGCAGCCAGGTTATTTGCCTCAATCTCCCCTTACTCTCACAGGTATTATGGAGCACACAGCAAGCAGTAATAACAATGGGAATATTGGTTGCGCTGAGGTCTAACCTACTCAGCAAACTGCGCCAGCGTGCTTTTAAACGCCCAAAGGCACATTCTACCACCATTCTGCACTTGCTCAGCCTATAGCTCAACTGCTCCTGACTACTGTCCAGGCTGCCTGTGTATGGCTTCATGAGCCATAGGAGCAAGGAGCAGGCTCGGTCTCCAGGATAACTATTGGCATTTCAACATCCCCAATGGTAATTTTCTGGTCTGGGAAGTAAGTCCCTTCTTGCAGCTGCTCAAACAGCCCGGAGTTCCTAAAGATGCGAGCGTCATGTAGCTTTCCTGGCCATCCCACGCTGATGTTGGTGATATGGCCCTTATGATCCACCAGTGCTTGCAGCACCATTGAGAAGTACCCCTTACGGTTTAAGTACCGGTTGGCAAGGTGGCCAAGATGGGGATATGCGTTCCATCTATTGCCCCACCACAGTTAGGGAAACCCATTGCAGCAAAACCATCCACTATGACCTGCACATTTCCCAGAGTCACTACCTTGATAGAAGAATGTCAGCAATTGCATTGGCTACTTGAATCACAGCAGTCCCCACAGTAGATTTGCCCACTCCAAATTGATGCCCGACTGACCAGTAGCAGTCAGGCGTTGCAAGCTTCCACAGTTCTATCGCCACTCGCTTCTCAACAGTCAGGGCAGCTCTCATCTTGGTATTCCTGCGCTTCATGGCGGGGGAAAGCAACTCAGAGTTCCAGGAAAGTAGCCTTACGCATGCGAAAGTTTCGCAGCCACTGGGAATCATCCCATACCTGCAACACTATACGGTCCCATCAGTTTGTGCTTGTTTGCCGGGCCCAGAATCGGCATTCCACTGTATTAACCAGCCCCACTGCCACCATGATGTCCCAATTGCCACAGCCTGTGCTTTCAGGAACCTCTGTGTCCATGTCCTCATCACAATTGTCCTCATGCTGCTGTCTCTTAGCCAGGTTCTGCACATACTGCAGTATAATGCGTGAGTTGTTTACAACAGCGGGCTCCATGCTTGCCGTGCTATGGCATCTGCACAGGTAACCCAGGCAAAAAGGCGCGAAATGATTGTCTGCAGTTGCTTTCATGGAAGGAGGGAGGGAGGGGAGAGTGACGACATGTACCCAAAACCACCTGCGACAATGTTTTTGCCTCATCAGGCATTGGGACCTTAACCCATAATTCCAATGGGCAGCGGAGACTGTGGGATAGCTTCCCACAGTGCACCGCTCCTCCGTGAGTCGATGCTTGCCACAGTAGTGAGGATGCACTCCGCCAACTTAATGCGCTTAGTGGGGACATACACAATCGACCGTATAAAAATCGATTTCTAAAAATCAACTTCTATAAAATCGACCTAATTTTGTAGTGTAGACATAGAGTGGCTAGTGCCAGCTCTGGGGTGGGGATAGATATCAGGGACGGTTGCGGAGATGAAGAGTTAAGGTACACACTATTTCCTGGTTTTCAAAGGTACGATGTGGGTAGACTAGACATTCTGGAAGGGCATAAGACACTGCTGGGAAACTTCAACTGTATGTTAAAGTTTTGGGGCAATTAATATGGTTTAGATCAACCAGAAGTTACTGACTTGATGCAGGAATCACACGCAGAAATCCTATTGCCTCTGTTATGCAGGTCAGAATAAATTACCAATCTATTAATCCTTCCCTGTTTCCAAGGTCAGTCTATGGGATCCATGAAAGAGAATGTTCTCTTCCCCATCCTCAATTATATATACAGGAACAGGAGCACTGCTGATTTTACAGCCATGGATGAGTGACTCACCCTGCTGAAAAAGTGCACTGCCCCCTCAGCTGGTGAATGAGAGGCAAGGGCCTCTCTGACACCCTATCCCCACCGCAAATCCCCCAAGGTATTAGGAAGTCTCTCTCCATTTCTTGCACTGGATGGAAAACAAATTCCAGTTGGGTCCCTTACCCCATCTCTGCCACCAGGAGGTGGTCCTCTCCACTATCATTGGCTGCTTTGGGATTTCAGGCATCTGCATCAAACTTCCCCCAACATAGTGAGACAACACCTCAGGAGGGAAAGTTTATATAGATATGTGCACAGATCTACCTTTTATTGTTTTTTTTTAATATATATGTAGATTATATATATATATATATATTTCTTTAAACAATCCCCCACAAAAACCACCCATCCCCACCCAGCAAAACAAAGAACAAAATCAAGATGGCAGCTACACTCTGGAGCAAAATTGTTCCAGGATCCCACAGAGCCAAAATGGCTGCTGAGCACCAGTACAAGTTCCTTCCAGGCTTCCATGATATTCTGGTGCTAAAGTGACTGAAACGGAGTTAGTCCTATGGCTCTTTAAATTTACCTGTCAAAGGACAGGGCAAGAGAGACGTGGAACAGAAGAGCTGAGGTGGTAAGAGATGGCAACAGAGGAATGGGAGAGATTGCTAGGGGATGGAGGAGAGAGGGAAGCATAGAGCAGATGGGAAAGAACGAACGTGCAGAAGAACTAGTTGGACAGACAGATGCTGGGGATGAGTAGAGAAGTGTCACTCTCAGGACACCTGCTTTTTAACCCTGCTTTCTCCCTCTCACCCTCCCAGGAGTTCAGAGATCCAGCTAGTTTGATTTAGACCAGATCTTTGCGCTGCCCCGGAGCCTGCAGAGAAAGAAACAAAGTCTCAGAATGGAGCAAGAGGCCCATGGACTCACCCCCACATCCTCGCCCAAGGCACATGAGAAGAAGTGGCTGTGATTCTCAGATGGGGATGGATGCCACCACAAAGGAGGTGTATTGCCTCAAATCGAGGATCTCAGAGATTCACTCCGGATGACTGGGGTGCAGGGCTCCACTGGCACTAAGCCTGCCATAGTATGTGTGTGAAGGAAGAGTTATTGCCCTGAAACAAAGGCCCCAGAGACTCCCCCCCGAATACACATGGAGAGGGGTCATGCTCAGCTGCGGCTGCTCCTCACCCTTTGGCTTTAGAAGCTTTCTTGCTGGTCTGGCGCTGGTTGGTGCCAGGAGCTGGCTCCCTGAGCTCTGTCAGATGTTGCTCTGGATCCTGAGATGTGGCTGCTGCAGCTGCTGCTGTCGTCACTTTAATTGTCTTCTTCAGATTTGCCACCTGCCAGGGTTAGAAAGCAAGAACAAAGGACATTCTCAAGGAAAAGCCATGTTAAACTAGAGTTAAGTTTGCAATATAGGTCAATAACTAAAGAAAAAATATCATAGCAGCCTTTGAGAGCTCTGTAGTATGGGGTGGTGTCTCGCTGCACAATGACCCTCCTCAGGCATGAACTTCCAGAGGGTCCTGATGAAGAGTAAGGCTATGTTTTAGTCACAAGTATTTTCAGTAAAAGTCACGGACAGGTTACGGGCAGTAAACAAAAATTAATGGCCCATGACCCGTCCATAACTTACTATATACCCCAGAATAAAACTTTTTTTGGGGTGGGGTGGGGGGGAAGGACTGGGGATGCCCAGGGGTGCTGTGGGAGGGAGGCAGCGAGCGGCCCAGGACCCCTGCTGGTGCTGGGGTGCAGGCAGGCAGCCCAGGATCCCCGCTGTGGGGCACAGACAGGTGGCCTCCACCCAGAGCACTGGCTTCACAACTTCCATTGGCTGGGAACTGTGGCCAATGGGAGCTGTGGGGGCAGTGACTGCAAGCAGAGGCAGCACGCAGAGCTGACTGGCCATGCCTCCGCCTAGCAGCTGAGCAAGGGGGATGTCACCACTTCCAGGGAGCCCCCCAGGTAAGCGCCACCCAGAGCCTGCCTCACCCTGGCCCATGCCCCAACCCCCTGCCTCCTCCCACACCCAAACTCTGCTGCTGCTTGGGTGGGGTGAGGAGTGGCGGGGGAAGGGTGCAGTGGCCTGAGACTGCTCCAGCAGTGGCCGGTGTGACTGGCACAGGGGCTACCTGAGCTGCCCCAGCTGCCCCTGAGCCAGGCACACTGGCCACTGCAGAAGTGACGGGGTCACAGAAAGTCACAGAATCCATGACTTCCATGACAAACTTGCAGCCTTAATGAAGAGGTATGGACTATAAGGCCTGGCTCAGGTATGGACTATAAGGCCTTTCATCTGTAGGGCACTGATTCCAATCCAGACCCAGATCAGGGGAACTGGCTGTTCTGCATCAGCATACTCACCTCACTCTCTATCTGCTGCTTTAGGCCCAGCTGTTGCTCTTTATGTTGGTTGGCTCGGCTAACCTGCTCCTCAATCCCCGACAGGACAACCTCACAGCCTAGGCACCTGCAGAGGAGAGACAAAGCTGAGCAGGCTGGACAGTTCCACACAAAGGCACTGCAGTGGGGAAACAGGAGATGGCACAGGTACTCTGCCTACATAGAGCTACACCTTGAGAACATCAAACAAGTGTTTAGGAGGAGATAAATGCATCTGATAAGGAAGGGCATAGAAGCAGAAAGCCCCCAGTAAGGAAAATGAGGGAGGAAGGCAGGCTGCAATGGGAATGATGGCAGGGCTAGGAGGGTTAAATCACTGAAGGGATGTTGGGAGCTCAGGGTTAGAGGGCAGATTTAGCCCAGTGAATTTCAAAGTAAGCTGGGATGAACCCCTTATCACCAAAAGGGGCTTTGAGAAGGTTAGTCCCCCTGCGCTCTTCCAGCAGCACACAGGAGAACCTAGAAGAGTCTCCCCCATATCTGGAGATGTCTTCTCACTACCTGTGGAAATCAGGAGATTTTGTGGGCTGCCTGAAGCTGGAGTTGTTGCATTCCTGCGGCATGTGGGCATTAGGGGTGTTGCAGTGACTTCAGGGGTTTGAAATCTCTTCACCACTCCTGCAACATTGGGGGTGTGAGCATCTCATCTGTAGAGTGTGTGTGTGGGGAGGGGTTAGGAGATGTTTCCTCATCACTCCTTCAGTGTGTCAGGGCGTGCGCCTTCTCACCACTCTGCCAGTATGCAGAGGGCTTAGGAGAAGCTCATCACCACTCCTATAGTCAGGGGTGGAGGAGTGTACAGAGGGCTGGCCTTGGGGGCTTCCTCCTCACCACTCCTGCAATGTGCGGGTGATGGTGCTTAGCTCCTCCCTGCGGATGTCTCGCCCGATACTGTAATCGACCTCAAGACGCTGATTACGCTGGTCCAGGCTCCCACGCAGCACGTCTGCATACACGGCCTCAATCACTAGGTCTTCCAGCTGCCGCACATTCTTCAGCTGCAACTGTTCCAGCAGCACTGCATAGGGGATGCACTGTGGGGAAAGCACAGGTAGTTAGTATGGGGTGATCCCAACAAGAAGGGGAGTGGGGGAACGAAGCCATTACCTTGATCTTGGCAGCCAGAGTGACCACTGACAGGTGCCTCAGCTTGTTCTTCTGAGCCTCGCTCAATGGAGGGAGGTTCCCAGCTTCAGCTGCTCTCAGGGAAAAGAGCATGATGTTAGAGCTGGAAATGTCCCATCTCACCCTAGCCCAAGGTCCTTTGCCCCACATCCATTTCTCAAAGCTTCTAATGTACCCTTTTCTCGGCAAGGCATCTCCTAAAGTTCACACACCCCTCAGCATGGAGGAAGTGTTCCTGAGCATCTTCCCCTTGCCTTCGTCCTGCTCCTGCAACTTCTCCTTACTCCTCTGGTGATCCCTAAATAATCCCCTCTCCTCCACAAGGTCCACACCCCTAACCACTGGCAGATGGCTATCATACCCCTGCCCCTCCCCCCCCCCCCCCTCACCACAGCCAGGAAGCCAAATGGAAGGATTGAACTCTCGGAATCTCTGCCCAGAACTCAACCCTGTATTATTATTTGTATTCCAGTAGCATCCAGAACCCCAAACAAGATCAGGCTCCCATTGTGCTAGCCACTATACACATACATAGTAAGAGACAATTCCTGTCACAAGGAACTTCCAGTCTAGATAGACAAGATAAACAAAGAGTAGGAAGGGACACAACACAGGAAGAGCGACTTGCCTGAGGTCACACAGCAAGTCCAGTAGCAGAGCCTAGAATAGAATCCCAATCTTCAGAGTTCTAGGTCAATGCCCTATCCACCAGCCCATGGTGCCTGCAAGACCCCTTCTGCCCTCTGAGATTTCTGTGGCTCTTTGAGCTCCCTCCAATTTGTCACTGTCTTTCTGGGATTGAAGGGTCCAGTACTGAGGAGTATCCTAGGTGGGGTCTCTCCAGAGATGTAGAGAAAGAAAAACTATTCCCTCCCTGCTCTGGAATGTAAGGCCTCTGCATCCACAAAATTGCCCTGACCTGTTTTGTGTTTCTAGTTCATCTGAAGCCCCTGTGCCATTTGCTCCCCCTTTTCCCCTTAGTCTCTGTCCACCGTTAGGGTTGCCAGGTGTCAGTTTTAAAAACCAGACCACCTGGTCAAAATGGGACCCTGACAGCTCCAGTCAAAAAGTCCAGTTGGCAGCGTTGGCAGGCTCCCGGGAAGCGGCCAGCATGTCCCTCTGGCTCATAGGGGAGGGGTGGCCATGGGGACTCTGTGCGCTGCCTCAGCCCTGAGCACCAGCTCCGCAGCTCCCACTGGCTGGGAACCATTTCCAAAGGAGCTGTGGGGGCAGCACCTACAGGCGGGGGCAGCCAGAGTGATATGTCACCGCTTGCTAGAAGCCACCTGAGGCTACACCCCACACCCCCTCCCGCACCCCAACACCCTGCCCCTGCCCCAGCCCAGAGCCCCCTCCTGCATCCCAAACCCCTGAGCCAGCCCAGTGAAAATGAGCAAGTGAGCAAGGGTGGGGGAAAGCAAGTAACAGAGGTGGGGGATGGAATGAAGGGGGTAGGTCCTCAAAGAAGGAGCAGAACAGGGGTGTAAAGTTTTCTCCAATTAGAAAGTTGGCAATCCTATCCACCTTTCCTGCTTCTTAGGAGACAACTGCAGGTGTTGGCCCACATCCTGGAGCACTAGGCTATGAGGACTGTAAGAGAATGACGCACGTACATAAATAATCAGCATATGTCCCGTATGCGAAGAGGGTGAGCAGACGGAAGACGGAGGAGAACTCATTCTCAGCCAGCTGCAGGGGATAAAAAGCACTCAATACGAACAGCAAGAAACTTTGCACACCACAACCTAATCCCTATCCCCAGTTCCAGGGCACATCTAACACAAATCCCATTTCCCTGCTTTTTTCCACCCAACAAGCCCGCAAGTGTTTTTCAATCTAGGTAACAGTGACTGATTCAGCTACCCACCAAAATGCAGCTGCACCAGGGTGGAATGGTAGATGCTTAACATGCTACACAGCCCTAAGCACAGCATTTAGGGAAACTGTAAACAAACCCCACTAAAGCGGCAGGAGCAGATTTCGGGAAGCAGCCAGGGGTACTGAACTATTTGCATAGTGGGGGTGCTGAGAGCCAAACCCTGTATAGGATGGAAACCACTTCCAGCCAGGGGTACGGCAGCTGCCCCAGCACCAATGGAAGCAGGCTGAGCTGCGGTTTTCCGGGATAACACCAGGGATTCTGACCAACCAGCGCCTCAGCGTTGTGCTGGGCTGACAAGAAGCGACCTTGCCCAATTCCGCCCCCAGCCCTAGGGGCCCTCCTCCCGCAAGGCAGCGCACCCTGCCCGCGCCAGCCCCTGCGGCACAACCCCCGCAGAGCCCCCGGGGCCGGCGCTCACCTCTCGGACGTTGGGCAGATCCAGCAGCTCCCCGAAGACGTAGATGCCGGGCGCCTCCAGCACCTGGTGGATGAGGCTGACCAGGGCCGCCCCGCGAGCCGACCGGGCCAGCAACAGGAGCTGCTCCTGGCTCTGCCCCGTCACCTTCACCTCGGCTGCCATGCCACCCGCCGAGCGCGGCCCGGCCCCACCACGCGCTGCGGGGACAAGCGGGGCGGGGAAGGAGAAAGGGCCTGGGCAGGGCCTTAGAGCGGGGCGGGAGGGCTCTGGGCAGAGCAGACGCTCCCGGGCCCCCGCCTGCGGGGCCGCCCCCACGTGCCCGCCCCCGGGCGACAGAGAAGCGCGTGAGCACCACCCAGTTGGGCTCCTACCTGCCGGCGGGGAGCTCAGGGCCTCCCGCACCTAGCGCTGTTTTTCCTCCTCTATGGTACTCCGCCTCCCAAGAGAAGCCACATCCGGGTTTCTGACGTCATCGAGTCCCAGACCACGCCCACAACACCTTTCTCTTCTTCCCCCCGCCCCCCATTATTGGTCCTGACCACGGAGACAGAGGAGGAGTTGCGTTCCCTCTCTGGTCCCGCCTCCGCCGCTCTGCCATTGGTCAAGAGTCTGCGGCTGGTTGAGTGACACTGGTGCTGTACCGCCGCTGCGGGATGTGAACCAGCCCGCGGAGGCAGCGCGAGGAGAGACGCAAAGCCAGTGTAATGAATCCCCCTTCACCAAAACTCCTCTCCCAAACAAGAGAGACAGACATCAACCCACCCCCAGAGTAGGAAATAGAACTCAGGCGTCCTGACGCCTAGTCATGGAGTCATAAAGGTTAGGGCCAGAAGGGCCCACCAGATCATCTTCTGTATATCACAGGCCACCAACACCCCCGAGCACCTGCAGACTAAACTAAACAACCAAAATTAGACCAAAATATTACAGCCCACGGGAGAGTAGACTATTTTTGCCAGACGCAGAGAATAGGAGGGAGTGGGACCAAGGTGCACCAGTGCCCGATTGCCCTGCAATGTCAGGGAAATGATTAAGTGACATATACCCAGAAAATTCTGGCAAGTGACCTGCACACACATGCTGCAGAGGAAGGCAATAACAAAAAAACCCAAGGTCACTGCCAATCTGACCTGGGGGGAAATTCCTTCCTGTGTAAGGCTGAGGCCTTTTCCTGCAGCCATATTAGGAGAGCAGTAGCCATGAGCCAAGAAGCAGAAAGTCACATCCTCACATCCCATTTAAATTACATTAAAACAATGTAATATCAGGCTGTTAAGAAGACAATCCTGTCCCAATAGCACCCACCATCAACAGATAAAGAAACAGATCTTAAGATGGTTAAGGAAAACTTTGTTTGATAGCATTCTGTGGCAAGAAATCTTTTATCAACAGTGGTGGTTGCAAAATCCCTACTTCTTTATTGTTTTGTCTTTATGGTCCCTACTTCTCTATTGTTTGTCTGTATGGTCTCTGTCTGGTTCTTTGATTGTTTCTATTACATAACTAATTTTGCTAGGTATAAATGAACTATGGTGGTGGGATATGATTGGTTAAAGAATTGTTTTACAATATGTTAGGATTGGTTAGAAAATTGTTTAGTAATATTTTAGTAAAATGATTGGTTAAGGTATAGCTAAGCAGGACTCAAGTTTCACTATATAAACTGAGGTCCAAAAGGAAGTTCTTTGGAACCAACTCCAGGACACAGCCCCAAGATCAGAGCTGCCAGACCTCAACACCCTACCAATCATACCATGCAGAAGCTGGAGTCGCCAGATGATCTGATCTTGACTGGCCAGCAGGAAAAGTTCATCTGCCTTATTGGGAGTGGTGAGCATTGCATGCTTAGTGTGTGTGTGTTCTGCTTTGGTGACTGTTAATAAATAGAGGTTAAGGATATTACTGTGTAAGGCTGTTTCACTGGTAAAAGACCTCGTATACCCGTGGAGCCCTAAGTCCATAGGGAATCAGTGTTATACCCTGAACCCATGGAGGGGTAGAGCCCAGAGCCCATGGAGGTGCCTTATACCTGGAGCCCTAGGAACTGGGAAAAGGTTAGGGTGACTAAATTAACTGGGTTATGCCAGGAGGCCATGGAAGGGTAAAGGTGGATGCCCTAGCCTAGAGTGTGTGTAACAGAGAATTTTGTGCGGGTAACACCTGACCCCAAAATATGATGATCAGTTAGACCCTGACCATGTGAGGAAGAACCAGGCAATCAAGCACTTGAGAGAGAAAATGTTTGGTATCACCTCAAAGCCCTAACCCCCTGTCCAATGTCCCTTCTTAGCCATGGCTATCCCTGATGTTTTGGAAGGAGATTAAAAAAATCCCACCCAGAAAACATGGGAGGAGGGGGAATCTCTTCCTTAACCTGCCAGCGGCCAGCTAAAATCCTGAAGCAGGAGTTTTAGGGCGATAAGAGATTAGCCCTGGGGCTCACTTCTGGTTTATGAGACTCCTCCCCTCACCCCCATCACAAGCAACCCCATCACATTCTTAATTTGGCCATCTGTCTCTTAAACCTAATTAAGTTGTTTGCCCCTAAAACTCTGGTTGGGAGGCTACATTTGTAACAGTTAGACCCCTCCATTCACAAGGTCAGGAACAGATTATTGGCTCCCGGACCTGGTCCACACTTGAAAGTGTCATAGGTATAACTATTTAGGTTTAGGTTTGGTTTAGTGTGGACATAGTTACACCGGTATAAAGATAACTTTTACAGGTATAAGTCATTTCCTTTTTTGTATAGTATAAAGCAACTCTATACTAAGGGTATGTCTACACTGCCTACATTACAGCGTGGCAGCGCTATGACATGAGCAGTGTAGACACACTTTATCACCAGGGGACAGCTCTCCCGGCGATTAAAAAAACCCCACCCCAAACAAATCACTGTCTATACTGGTGCTTTTCAGTGCTAAAACTTTTGTCACTCAGGGGGGTGTTTTTTCACACGCCGGAACAACTAAAGTTTTAGTGCTGAAAGTGGCAGTGTAGACACAGCCTAATGTAACAGTAAAGGGGTTGTACAACTTTAGCAATACTGGTACGTAGTTAAATTGGTACAACTTTCTAATGTTGAAAGGCCCAAGTTCCCTCTGGTCTAGCTCACTACATCCTACTCCCTATATTAAAATATATTTACTTTCAGTATGTATACAGTTCCAGAAAGGGTGCAGCCCTGGTAAATAAGGGAGACAAAGTTGGAACTCAAACTATGTGCAAGCCCGTTTGTGTCTGTAGTTGTTTTCTTTACAAAATACCTCCTGTTGAAGAAGGATTGTGATGCCATATATTATGATACACCCTGCACACAGGTGGGAATGGAACTCACCTGGAGCTCCTCACCCCCAGGGAATGCCTACACTAGGGTTTTACATCAAATTAATTGATTGCCAGTTATATTGAGGTAATTAACACATTTGTAAGGGCTAATCTGGACACTCTGCAAATGTACTTTCAAGGACAAAAATACACCTCTACCTCGATATAATGCTGTCCTCGGGAGCCAAAAAATCTTCCTGTGTTATAGGTGAAACCGCGTTATATCAAACTTGCTTTGATCCACCGGAGTGCGCAGCCCCGCCTCCCCGGAGCACTGCTTTACCGCGTTATATCCGAATTCGTGTTATGTCGGGTCGCATTATATCAGGGTAGAGGTGTATTTGTGATTTAACTTAGGGTATGGGCAAAAATAGTGTGTTTTTTTCAGTTGTGTTAAGCTCAATCGAGTTAGCTTAACATGATTAGAAAGCCCAGTTAAGGGCATATCTTCACTAGGGCCATGTCTGTGATAGAAAAAAGGTGTGTTTTTACAATGAGCAAGCTAATGGACATAGCTATCTCACTGTAAACTCCTAATGTAGACAAGGCAAGTGAGTGGGATTCTTTTGAGCATCATACTGGACTCATGCTGGGTCACTTTATTGGGGAAAGCTGTGAATCTGTGGACTGGAGTTAACAGTTTCCTGACACTCTCCACACACCACATGTAGTGAGGAATATAGAGGGAACAGAGTTTCTAGGAAGACAGAAAGAGAGGGGGAAGAGCTGTCAGTGGTCAGGTTACAAGGCAGAATTAACAAGAGATCTCTGTCTCTTATCGCTGTTTCTGTATTTGGGTCTAATTCACCATTGCTTTACATCTTGTGCAGTCCCTTCCACCAGCACAAAGTGAATAAATAGCAGGTATAGAATGTAGGATTTGCAGCATTTTATAACTCTCTCCCCTACCCCTATCTCCTGCTCCTTCCATCTCAGGTTTTATCTCTCTATTGATCCATTTCTCTCACACTCTCCGATACGCTTGCTGCCTTTCATTATTAGTCAGATAAAGCCAGGCAGCTCCATCATCCTAGCTACGTGATCCTGTCTCTGTCCTAGCTCTGCACCCCTACCCCTCACCCATCTCATGTGCTAGATTGTACTGCTGCCTCTCTGCTTCCATTTCATGCAGCTGTGGGGCTAACACAAGGAAGAGACCTGTGGAAGTCTCCTGAGTAATCCAGACTCTCAGATGCCCTCAAGCTGAGGTTCCCACTGTCCCCCGCAAAACGCTCATTCTAATCTCTCACTAAGACTCTCCCATAACCTCACCATAGCACAATAAAGCATAGCCTTCTCCTGCCCTTAGGGCCTAATCTAGAGTGGTCAAGTTTTGTGATACTTGGTGTTTTTCTTAAAGCCCTAGCTCCTGGAGCAGTGAGAAATTCAGCTTTTATTTTTTGAAAAAGTAAGTTTCCACCCTCATGGCTACCGAGGAAAGCTGGAAGTATGATTCCAGTGTAATCTGAAACTGGAAGGCAAAGAAAAGGAATCCAACATTTATTATTTTAAAAAATCTCTCATATTCTAGGCCAATCTCATTATTTTGGGGCCTGACTCGTGATTTTTGAATGCTTGGGGCTGACAAATGCTTCTAGCACTCTCTCTAAAACCCATCCCCTCACTCCGCCCTAACCATAGCCTCCCCCCAATGAAACCCCACTCCCCTCTTCCCCTAACGTCATCCTGTCTCACTCTAAACCCATTAGAGCGTATCTACATTATTACAATGTGTTACTCTGTTTGAATGCAGTTGTGAAGAAGTGTCATGATAGCTGTCATGGTATTCATCATGATTTGCCTTGCTCCACACTGACTGGTCACAGTCAGCATCATGTAATTCTTCACAAGTGTGTTCAAACATGGAAAAATTCATAGATTCATACATTTTAAGGCCAGAAAAGACCATTTTGATCATTCATTCTGATCTCCTTTATATCATAGGCCGTGGAATTTCAGCTAGTTGCCCCTGTGTTGAGCCCAATAATTTGTATATTACTAAAGCATATCTTCCATGCAGGCATCCACTCCTGATATTAATACTCCATGAGATAGAAAATCCACCACTTCCCTTAGTAGTTGTTCCACCCTCATTGTTAAACACGTGTGCCTTATTTCTAATTTGAATTTGTCTGGCTTCAG